AATTAAATTTCAGAAGAAAGTAAATTTAAAAAAAGTTCATTTTTTTTCTTCCTAAAATTATCAACTTAACTTTATTTTCACGAATGGCTAAATTTCGGAAGGGGCGAAGCATATTATTCGCCCCCCTTCAATTAAATTTCAGAGGAAAATAAAATTTTTGATTTTGAAACTCACTTCAGCCATTTATTGACTATGTAGGTAGACCGTTAGGAAAAAGCATCGGTCGTTTTGTAATAGGATACTGGCACTTCACAACTTTCTTTTTTGTTTTGAAATAAATAATAGCAATTAAGTTTAACCACTAACTTGTGACAGAACTTAAGAGGCGAATAAAAATGTTTTTTTCATTGGTGCTTAATCTGGCCCTGCAACCAGGCTATCCGTCCTATACTTTACAAAATCGAGGAAAACATAAGGAGCAGTGCCGGATTACCCATTAGGTCATGGCCCCCTTAAAATGGATTTTTTGAAAATTTAAAAAAATTAAGAAAAACAATGATTTAAAAAAAATAAATCTATTTCAAATATATATGTTACGATTATAAAATATTATGATTGATTATTTTTTAGTTCTAATTTAACAAAATAAAGTAAAATTCAATTTATTATTATTATTTTTTTAAATATGCTTTCTTGAACGAAAAGATATATGAATACTTTTATATTTGAATAAATAAAAAATATACGAGAAAAAAAAAATTAATCTAAGGGCCCCAAAAATTTGACATTTGAAAAGATATAACATTTGAATAAATACATTTGAAAAGATAGATGAATACTTTTATATTTGAATAAATAAAAAATATACGAGAAAAAAAATTTAATCTAAGGGCTCCAAAAATTTGACATTTGAAAATATATAACATTTGAAAAGATATATGAATAAATAAAAAATATACGAGAAAAAAAAATTAATCTAAGGGCCCCAAAAATTTGAATGGCCCAGGGTCCCGTGCACGCTTAATCCGACACTGATAAGGAGGCACAATCTGTATCCTAAATAAGGAAACTGGTAACTTGTCGAGCACAGCAATTGACTGACAGTTAGAGAAAAGCATGTCTTATCACCTCTAACAGCTACAAAATTCCTGCATCAGCGTTTCTCATCGTTTACCAGTTTCCTTCTACTTGCATCAAGGTACTCTTGAGCTTATTGAAGCTGGTCTTCAAGTTGCAATTAAGCATCCCATACAATGTGCCTGTATCTTAATCCCATCATTTCATTTGACGGGATTAACATAAGGAGACATCAAAGGCCACTCCTCTGATTGTTCACACGAGAACAGGTTATGAGTCGCTGTCGAAACTGAATATTGACTCCTCACTGAAGATAACAAGCCCCCAAGCATCTTAAATCCAAGACCCATGGCAGACAGTCCTTTTTGTGGTTTACAGTCAAGGCATGCAAACACATTTATTAATTTCTGGGCGACTGTTATCTGCGAAATGGATGTTCTTGTTACATTATTACAGGTTGCAATACAGTTGCGTCGCTATAATGGACCAATCCCTTTTGGCTGGAAATCTTGCTCACCACTAGATTATATTTTTTGTTATTCAACCTTACCTTACACTATGATGTTTCAAAGCGTCCTTGTGCTACAAGCTTGGACGAACAAATGAGGTTCTTCTACACAAAAGCGATCACAGGCAACTGCATGGTAGAGATGCCCAAGAAGAGCTGAGACCGTGTTTGCGTATAGCCATTACTTATGAAAATGTTCTTTCTTTTAACCGTTTTTATCATAGCAGTTTTCACTGACATGCACTCTTTGACCTAAAACAATTTAAAAACCAATGTTCCCTTCTTAAGATAGGGTTGTGCACTCTGCTTACTATCACTCACAAACATTTGAAATAGCTTACACTGTTTTTTTTAAAAGATCAATTTGCCATTTGAGGTCACTCTGCTTGTTCATCTCACATATTTTACGAAATTGTAATTACATATGTGTGTTTAGGTGCCAAAAATGGAAATTCAAATCGAAAAAAGCAAAACATTTTTATAAATAATTTTCTTAATAAGCTATTTTGGAAGTAAAATATATATTATTAATATCAATAATGGCTTTCTCACTATCATGTTTTTTAAAAAAGAAGGAAATTACATAAACGTTGATGGGTTGTTAGACACACCCATCCATCTGATTTCAATAAGCAACATATCAAATGAAATAATTAAAACCAAAAAAACTGAAGAGCAATTCCATTACTAAAGCCACAGTTATTGACTTTATAAGCACGTAACATAATTAAAAAGAAATCAAGCAGTTCTAAAAATTAAATTTTTTTTAAAAATGAAAAACTGTAGCTTTTAGAGATGTAGCATATTGTGTTATTATGCCCATAACACTCAGCATTTAATTTTTAAAAAGTTATGAAAGATACCAAAAATAGGAGTAAGTGTACAGATATTTTCACAAGAAATATTAGAATTCCTTAATTTTTTTAAAATCCAGTTAGATAGCTTTCTAATATGACATTAGTAATTGGTGGAATTTTCCTGAAGCAGTAGGATTTTTGTGATTACATCACTCGAATATACCACCTGGTGAGAATACAAATTCCAAGCAAAGAACCTCCCCCCTGTAACGTTTTAGAGACGGTTGGTACAACAGTTGTACCTTTCTTTTGTTGTTGTTGTAAAAGTATTTTATGTATAGCATTATAATTTGATATTTATTTTACTATGCACGTGTTATGCTGAGTTGAGAGCCATATCATGAAGACAAAACAGATAACGTATCATAGAAAATTAATATTTGTCTCACATATATCAGGGGTAATTCTGACACAAAGTGAAAAACCCTGAAAATTTTATAAGTAAAAAATTGATATTAAGATATCAATTTATATACCAAGCATGTTTCATATTTAACATAAATTTTAGAACTAGCATTTATAATTAAATTACCTACTAAAAATATTTTAAGGTATGTGTGTTAGCAAGACAGCACTTCATCAAGAGGCACACTGCCTGCCAACACACAGGAACCTTTCTGTTGTCAGTGGTAATACCAAAAGCTGACAGTGTCCCGAGGCCCCACAATGGATAAACAAATAAGAAAAAGCAGTTAGAAAAATCGAATTGTAAGAGCAATGAAAAATTAATGACAAATAAACACAATTTAAAAGTATACAGAGTAAGACTAAATAATGAAACGCCCACATATAAGAAAAATAAATAAAGTTAAAGTTAGGAATTTCTTTCAGCTATCAGGAATTTCAAGATTACATTAGAGAATAATCATTTTCCTTTTAATTACTGTAATTATGATATTTTAAAGACATTCAAATAACTCGGCTGATATTGAAGCCCGCATAAATAGGCCTATGAGATGAAATTAAGGATTTTTTTGGTTCCTGAAGCATATAGATGGCAGCACTTTTTTAGAAATTTTACTCATTGAATGCTTTTTGCTTTATTTTTCAATATTTTCAAAAGGGGTCACCACGATTTATTTTTCAAGTTTTCTTTATGATATGGCAATTTATATTTTATTTTGATTTGGTTATTCTAACTATAACTTTATTTATTTTTTTTTATATGTGGGAGTTTCATTATTCTTACTCTGTATAATTTAAAATTGTGTTTATTTGTCATTGCTTTTACAATTAAATTTTTCTAATTGCTTTTTCTTACTTGTTTATCCATTGTTGGGCCTCGGCGGGACACTGGCAGTTTTCGGTATTACCACTGACAATAGAAAGGCTCCTGTGTGTTGGAGGCACTGTGTTCCCTGATGAAGCGCTGTCTTGCTAACACACATATTTTAAAATATTCTTTGTATTTCTGACTTTTTAAATTAAAATAAAACAAATTTGGTTTTAGCTGCTTTTCCATTTTGATTTAATGTTATTTACTTATTTTGTCTTTTTCTGAATTTGTATAAATCAGTTTCATTCTTTGATTAGACTCACTACTTTTTGAATTACAGAGCAACAAAAAATGATAGGGGACAAAAAGGATCCATCCATCTTTTTAGTGTTAAGTGCAACAATTATATAAATTCAAAAAATATCACAATATTTTTTTAGCTATCAACATTTTTTAACAATTCATTGTTATTTTAAAATTTGCCATGATCTACAGACATGCATAAACATGTGAATGTTGTCTATGGGAAATTTATCACCATTGCAGAAAATTTTTTAATATTACTTTATTTAAAAAAAAAAACTTAAGGAATTATAAGGTTATATTTATGTTTTTCTTAAATGGTTTATATTGTAAAATGAGCAAAGCAAGATTATTTAAGTGTAGAAGACTTGAAAACAGATTCTTATAAAAAAAAAACTTATTTAAGTTTTTCATTGAAATGTTTCCAAGCAAACATTTATGTATGCAAAGAAATTCAAGCCTAAAAAAAAAAAGTAAATCAATAACTCATTTTATATTTTCATAAAACTGCTAAATTTAAAGATATGCATAATAATTAATATAGTTTTTTTAGAATTAATCATTTTCAAAAGTGATTTTCGAACAAATTTTATGTCCATGAAACTAATTACAAAAGTCAATAAATTACTTACGAAGTTTTTTAATTTTGTTTTTGCAGAAAGTTTTTCATTTTATCAAAGCCTGCCTATCTGTTATAAGGACCAATGTTCTTGTTAGTAACAGCTAAGAAAAGCAGTCGCCAACATATAGTCCCTATAACATAGATATGGCGAATCTAATGGTAAACATGCCACAAGGTGGCATATGAAACATATCTTGATGGCAGACAAGAAATTCATATTACTAAATTACTTTTATTTAATTACATTCCTTGAAGAAAAAAAAATTTAATACTAGTAGCAATCAAAAACAAGTAGGAAGTTTGGTGACATTAGGACATATTTCAAGAAATGAAGGTAATTAATGTCCCCCTTAACGATGGAATTCCACGTCGTAGGAGAAAATGGATTTTCTTGAAAAGTATGAAATTGTGATGAGTTATAAAGAAAACCCAAACCAAATTATGAAAAAACTTGCGATACAAAAAATTTTTGCAATGTAGAGAACAGACATTTTAATCAATGAATTCTGTATTATCAATAAGAAACAGCCAAATCTCATATTTAAAGTAAAGATCAAAACCAAACAGTAGATATAGCTACAATATGTAATTAAATGTTGAAATCAAAGTAACGACAAACAAATGGGATTTTAAAAAGAAACTTAATAAGTTGCACGTTGGACACTGTTATTTAACTGGCACGCTTATTTATATAGGTTTACCACTCGTGCTATAATTGAAAGTATCTTCATAGGAATCAAAATATTGTAGGAATGTAATTTTTTTTCTTTCTTTCTAATGTTAATTGAAAATTTTTTTTTACTCATAAATTCTTGATGCTTGTTGAAATTAATGTTCTAATCACAGTTCTCCTTGTTTTAATTATTTATTTCAACCATTAAAATAAGTCTTAATTCGATAGTTAAACATTCTGATTTACAATAAAGCAATTAACATTGATTTGAATCCCATGGTTCAGAGTCAATAAATTATTGGTTCACTTTAAGTTCTTTAGCAATTGCAGAAGCACTCATAACCATCATTTCAGAAGAATGTTCTTTATACGTAGAGAGAGCAGCTTCACGCGTTTCCTCCCATCGATAAAGTTCTACGTATATCGGCTTAATATACTTTAAACGGCCATATTTAACGACAAAATCTAAAGCTGTCGGGATTATATCTTTCCAGCGAGCTAATAAGCACAGACGAATCCATCTGAATTCAATTTCACAATTTTTTGTCTCACTTAAATTATAAAGCTCATTTAACTTCTCAATTTTCTTAGTAGATAAAGGATCCTCTTTTAATATGAATGATAGAAATGTAACAATTTGATCGGAAACAAAACTTTTGATATCCTTCGAACCGAATTGACCGAGGTCGTTCTCGTCTGCTTTGACCCATGCATTACACAAATCAATACACTCTTTGGCAAGGGTCTCATCATAGTCTGGTTTTACAGGGGGCATACCTGGGGAATATAACCATGTGTCCCAATCCACTTGGTTAAGAACATCTTTTTTGTCTGAAAAATGTTTCAATAGATAATTTTTCCAAGTATCAGTATCGATAGATTGAAACTTATGGTCTTTAATATAGTTTCTCAAGAATTCTTCAAACGGTTTAGATCCTAAAAGAGTTTCCAAATAGAAAAGAAATGTGTGACCTTTTTCATAAGGTATAGGATTACAACCTTCATCTGGATCCACATCCGTTAAGTCTGGCACCAATTTAGTTAATGGATCAGTCTCACCTAACTTTTTCACTATATAATCAAGATCATTCCAACCATCAATGGCATCAAAATGGCGTTTTTTCTCACCATGGAGCTTAGCTATAATTTTTCTTTCAAAAAACATTGTAAATCCTTCATTTAACCAAAAATGTTCAAAGTTCTTATTGGTCACTAAATTGCCAGACCAGCTATGTGCAATTTCATGAGCAATAACACTGACCAGCGACTTATCTCCAGTTATAATGGTGGGTGTAACAAATGTTAAACATGGATTTTCCATACCCCCATATGCAAATGATGGAGGTAGTACCAATAAATCGTATACCTCCCACACATATTCTCCAATGAGTTCCTCGGCACAAGATAACATTTTTTCGGTGTCTGCAAACTCCTCGGCTGCCTTTTCGACGAATTCCGCTTCGGCCCAAACATGAGAACGAGGACCAATTTGTCTACTTTCCAAGGCTCCAACAGCAAGGGTGATTAAATAACTTGGAATGGGAATTTTTTGGACAAATTTATAGTTTTTCTCTAAGGGATCAGAATCCATTTCTTCACCATCACGTAAAGCACTCATTAATGCAATGAGCTCATAGGGTGTAGTTAGTGTAGCAGAATAGGGTGCTTTGACACTAGGCGTGTCTTGACATGGAAGAATGGATCGAGCATGGATTGCTTGACACAAGCTAAAAACATATGGATGCTTTTTACCAGCAGTCTGACTGGGCTCAAGCCATTGAAGAGCACTTGCTTGAGGCGATGTTTCATAATCAATTCGAATGAAAACATTCTTGGCTGTTGATCTTTTCGGTAATTTTATTTCCAATCTACTGCCAAAAACTTCGTGCTTTTCCTCACTTAAAATGAAGGATAGCTTGTTATGATTGCTTTTATTCTTCACATTATGTATGATAAGATCTTTGGTGTCCAAAAACAAATCCGCCTTCGGATTTTTCTTCTCAACAGTTAAATCTACATAACCAGATAATATATGCTTATTAAAATCAACTTCAAGTTTAAGAAATATATCAGTTATTACAGCATCTTCGGGATTGGAATAAGAATGCGGATCGTTTTCACTTAATCGCTGAGACATGTCGAAAAATTTACCTTTTACTGTGAAAAAAGAAAACTTTTCCTTTCTGAAAACTCTTGATTTTATATCTGTAGTATTTATCAAATTAAATCTGCAGATTTGACGTGTTTATTGTTCTGTTTAGGAGAATTCGAAACATTCCTCTACTTTCGAAACTTGAGGTATGCTCGAAGTGAAATGCCTCCTTCTGCCATGTGATTAGTTATTAAATAATACTAGTTAATGAGTGCAAATAAATTCATGTTCCTGATTTTAAAGTAAATTATTGAAAATAAGGTACAAGAAATTCTATTAATAAAGATAAATATCTTGAATTAATTTTTCAATTTATGCTACTTCAAAGCCTTATAGGAGCATTATTGAAAAAAGATAATAAAACAGACATGCCATCTTCACAGATACAGACGTTCGTAATATCATGCATTTCAACGTGACTAGTTGTTTCCATTTCAACTTAATGCAGTTTTTCAAATCTTTTATGCTACTTTATGGTCGTAAACGGAATAAAACTTTGATTCAGTTTTTGCTTTGAATCTCAGCTGCTCCATGTTCTCAGAAAAGTTCTCTGAAAAAATTATGAATAATAAACAGTGATCCGAGGATTCTCGTAATATAATGAAATTATAATGATATAGTTGATGAAAGCAAATATTTTAAATTCTAGATGGCTCAAATTATCCGATCTTTTTTATGTAAAAATTATATAACTTTACAGCATGGTTTTAGAGGTTCAATTTATAATCAACTTCGATGGCGACGTAAGGAACCTAAAAGAAAGCCTCTTTGGATGCCTACTGCTAAGTCTAAACTATTTAGAATCCCACAGCATCCATATGTTTCAGAAGAAGAAAAAGATTTAATAGATGATTTGTTAGATGAATATTACATTAAACTTGAGTCATTGCGGTAACATTTAAATTTTTTTTTTAATATTTAGATTCTATTAATTCCATTGCTTATAATATATAATTTTTATGACTAAATTTATGTTTTCTTATTTTTAATATTTTTTATCAGTAGGCATTTAAGCTTCTAAAGTTTTAGCTCAAATAATTTTATATTGATACTTATTATGAATGGTGCTTTTTCCTATAAGAGTATATTTTTATATCTGAACCTGAGATCGCCAAATAGTTTATTGTTTATGACTAATGAATCTTACTTAGTATGCACTTTTTTTAGGAAATTATTTCAAGAGGAATTGAAACAAAAATTTGAAGATGAAGGATTCAGTTTGAAAAAGCAACAGGAATCAAAAGAAAACTTTCTATCATTATTAGAAGAGAACAAAAAAGAGAATGAACGAATAAAGTTAATAAGGTTAATATACATTTATAAATCCTTTTATATAATTAATAATGTAATTTTATATTTATTTTCTTAAATATTGCAATGCAAATATTAAATTGAAAGAGTACACTAAGCACCATGGTTGTACTGTGAGGGAAAAAAAAATGCAAGAACAATTGTCCAAGGGCATGGTAAAAATTATTTACGAAAAGTGTGGTGTTTTTTAGTTAATTTGTTTTTAAAGAATTCCTGTAATATGAATGAAATAATGGTATAATAAGGTGACAACTATTACAACTTATCAGTAATTATTAAGATTTCATAGCAAGATTACTGTATTATAGTTAAGTAATAAAATTTATGATTTTTGAGAATTTCTATAATAATTTGTATAAAATGATTTTTTTCCCCTGAACTTCCAAGAGTTATGAAATTTTGTTTGTAAATAATCTAAGGATAATTTTTTTCTAATCCTTAAACAATTCTAAAAACAATGAAAAGAATAGAAATCTTATCTTTCCCTTCTAACAAGATATTCGGAAACTTCATCTTCTCTCTTTATAAGAACATAAACTGAAATCTGAAAAATTCAAGATCATTAAAAGGCAATGACCAATACTTTTACAAATTCAACTTTAGGAAAATACTTTTTCTCAAAATTTTATTTTTGATCCATAAGAAACAATAAATTAATATTTTTGTGTTGATTTTTTAATATAATTTTTAATTTTCACAAATTATGTCTAAATTTTCACAAAATAGGTACCTCTCAGAAAAACCTACACAGACCCCTGTAAACGTAAATTGTATAATGTTATTCTTTGAACATTTAATTATTGATAGTTTTAAAAGTTAGCACCACTGTAAAAAAGTAACATACATTTAGCTTTAAACAAAAATGATCATCTAAAAAGCGAGTGGTAGTTAATAATAATTTATGTTTATGAAAATAGATATCCCAAAAATCAAAGTTAAACCATGATTTTGAAAAAAAAGAAAAAAAATCCCTACTAGCTTACTAGATATGAGATAAGATTTTTTTTTGTCTTTGTAGTTAGGAATAAAAATAACTTCTGTCCTGGGGTCTGAAAAATTTGTACCCAACCTTGCTGAATGTTGTGCGACCTCACAACACTTAAAAATTCTTTGCTTCTTGTTTTATTTTCTGGCCTGAGAATTATTTTTTTTTTAATTATTAGATTATTTTTTGTTTAAATAACAGGAGATACAATGTTATAAATGTCTATTTCAAATTTTAATATTCCTTTTTATTTCGCTAATACTTATGGGCTTAAAGAACAAAAAGGTCTATGGGGTTTATTGTTAACACATGGTTGAGGGGTTTCTGTAGGCAGTTCGATAATATGGATTTAATGGATGTTCCGATAATATGGACTTAATGCTAATGCATAATTTAAAAAAATTTTTGTGCTGTAAAAAATCTATGCTTTGATACATTTTAAGCTTAATTTTATTAAAATTTTTGATTACCTTAGAGTTACACATTTTTTTATAGTTGTGAAATGTTCTTCATTCAAACCATTAGCATTCAAGCAAGTCATTGCTTGCAATTGATTTTTAATATAGATTTATCAAACCACTTCATAAACTAAAGCTGTAATTAATCAAATAATCTATCTTTAATTATTAATAATGGTTCAAATGAAAAAATTTGTTTGACAGATTTTTCATGTTGCTACAATGCAGTCCAACTTTTAGTTACAAGTTAATATGCATGAGTTCTAACACCAATTTGAATAAATATAGTTAAAATATTTATTCAAGAATTCACTTTCAATTCAAATTAGCTTTATTTTTAATTTACATGTTTTTTTACGATTAACAGATTAAATAATTTTATGACTTGTCTATTACACTAGCCTTTGGCTGATATAGATAAAAACAATGATATAATGATATTTTTTTTAACAAGAAAAGCATTAGTTAAAAAAATATTAAAAAAATCATGCATTCAAATTTGCTTATGCATTGTGCAAAATGAAGATAAAAGCTCCATTTTCCCCAACAAATTAAATAAATAAAAATAATAGTCATGTTTAAAATAATTAGTCAAGAAACTTTTTATCCAAATTCATAAGAATTATCTGCTCTAATCTCCTCTACTTTCTGTTTTCTAGAATAGCATCTAATTACTTCAGTTAATAATAGATTCTTGTCATATGTTTAATCAAGATTATTTTACTTGATTAAAAACTTCATTGGCTTCATAAAACCTTTCTATAGTGCATATAAATGCATTTTGTCCTGATTTGATTATTAGTTTGTTGCAAAGTTGAAATTCTAAGAATTTTTTGAGTTATGGACTTTGCTGAAATTTATATTTTTGTAATATTTTATTGTTTGTTAGTCCAATATTTAATAAACTGTTCAATATAATAGCATAAAAATATACCCTCCATCTGCCATAGAATTTTTGTAGTTTTGGAAATTTTCTTTCTTAATGGTCGCAAAGGTAATGTCTTAATATTGCAATATATTCGATTTAAAGAAAAAAAATTGTCTACCACTACTTACAAATAGTTTGAACAGACATATTAAAGGTCCGATCAAATGGTCATGCTCTGCTCTTAAATTCTGATAAAAGTCTTAACAAAGTTCCTTTTATTTTGAAAATTTCTGCTTCAGTTCACTAACACTAGAAAAAATAATTTTCAAAAACCTTAAATTTTGGAGGGTATCTGAAGGTGTAATACAAGTAAATATTTATAGATCAACTGTTTAGTTTTAAAATCATAATTTTTTCATTTCAGTTAACTCCAAAATATCTGGAATTATTTTTACTGCAAACTTTTTTTGTGAAATCAACATTTATGGGATTGATATAAAATGTGCAATGATGGAATAAGTTTTTCAATTAGATTTACCTTTAAAAATTAAACTTAACAATTAAATTGGGAGATAATGAAAGAACTCATTGTATTTACAGAGAAAAATGTTTGATCTCTCTTGTTATTTAACCCGGGAAGACTCGCCCGGTCATTACAAAACTATACTGCAGAAAATCACCCCTTCAACCGAAATGAACCGGATTCTAGGTAGCTGCGTTGAAGGTCACCTACATACTGACCACAGGCATTTCAGGAATGTATGACCCCCCTTTCCTGAGAAAATTTCAATTCGGGCTTCTGAGGCCCGATGCGAGCGATCGCAATTGTCATTTCAGATTGTGAATGTAAAGGGAGAGGCTGTAAAATGTATTGCTCTTTAACCTATAAGGAAGAAATGAAGCGTTTGGAAACCTTATTAGCTGAAGTTTCAACTGATGAGGAATCTGTTAATGAGGATGATGAAGAAATTGTTGACATGCAACAATATAGTGATCATCAGTCAAGTTCAGTAGAAGATTTAGATTCATCTAGTGATTTTGATATAACTGAATCCGTTGGGTACTATATTGGCAAAGATAAAGTAACTAAATGGAATAAAAATGAGCCAAGACGAAACGTGAGAACTCCAGCTCACAATATCGTAACAAAATTGCCTGGAAATGTTGGTGATGCAAGAAATGTATCCTGCCCTATCGAATCATGGAAGTTGCTTATCGACGAAATAATAACGAGTATTGTGGAATGCACAAGCATTTATATAAAATCTATTGCAGTCAATTTCCAAAGAAAAAGAGATGCTCGTGAGACAAATATGACGGAAATAAGAGCATTTATTGGGGCCTTCTTTATTTAACGGGAATTCACAAATCCTCACATGTAAATGTCCGTGATATTTGGAATACCGATGGCACAGGGCTTGAAATTTTTCATCGGACTATGTCATATAATCGCTTTTTATTCCTAATGAGATGCATAAGATTCGATGATATTACTGATCGTCCTTCTAGAAGAGAACTGGATAAATTGGCTCTCATACGATCTATTTTTGAAAAATTTGTTGCAAACTGCCAACATGTATACAGCCTTGGGGAATTTGTCATTATAGATGAAAAGTTAGAACCCTTTAGAGGTAAATGTTCCTTTCGTCAGTATATTCCAAGTAAACCTGCCAAGTATGGAATTAAAATATTTGCTTTTGTTGATTCTAGGACATTTTATACTTGGAATCTTGAAATTTATGCAGGGGCTCAACCAGAAGGTCCATATAAAGTAGAAAATACTCCCGGTACCGAAAAAAAATAAATGTGTGGTACTTTTGTCTACCATGCACAATGATGGTGCAATTGATGTTTCAACTGCAGAAGCCAGGAAACCAGAAATAATAACTTTTTACAATCTGACGAAGGGAGTTGTAGATGTAGTTGATGAAATGTCAGCTACTTATTCCACTGCAAGAATTAGTAACAGATGGCCGATGACAGTATTTTTTAGTATTTTGAATACTGCAGCCATAAATTCACGAATTTTACTATTATCTGCGAAATCGCCACTGCTCCAATACAAAAAAAGGAGTTTATTTTTTAAAAATCTGGCGTTAGAGCTTCTGAAGGAGCATGTAGAAAAAAGAAGTTTGCAGCCGACGCTTCCGCGCGAGTTGCGTGAAAAAAAAGATAGCGGCCACAAGGAAAATTAGGAAGCACCACCCGCAAAGAAACAAAAATGTTCAAGAAAAAGGTGTCATATCTGCCCCAGCAAAATTGACAGAAAATCGCAAATTTCTTGTGCTAAATGTTCAAAAAATGTATGCGGAGAGCATAGCAGTGTAATTTGCAGAATATGCCAGTGAAATGTAAGTTTTGTTTCAATTATAGTAAATGTAATAAACATTATTTAATTGGAAAAATACTTCATAATTTTTTAATTGTTTAAAATTTAATATTAATTGCATGTATAACTTAAAAAAAGTGTTTCAAAATTTTATTGTAAATATATAAATATATTATTAAACTTTTTTAAACTTGCTGTTTTAAAAAATATTTTATTTCTTATTTACCCATATATAATTCTTAGTTGAAAACACAAATCTTTTATGCTCAGCAAATTGATTTTACCGTTTTCTTACACGAAAATCCGCTCTGGGCCTGCGAAGCCCATCGCGCTCTCTCGTGTGACGGTAAATAGCGCGAGTTCTCCCGAGTTAAAACAATAGTGAACCGAAATTGCTCAAGTAAAACAGCATCCATGTGTCAAAATTTTAATTTTTATCTGCTTGGCAGTGTAGGATGAATGAAAGGTAAATCATTTACAATTATTTTCAGATAGTGCATTTACATTTGTATATTTAACTAATCTCACTTGTATGATTATAGCATTAATTTGTGTATTTAGTCACAAATGAGCCCTAATTGTAAAGTGTTAAAATATATTTTGATTTATGTCCTTTTCTGATTATTTGCTCTATAGTTGTGCCCTCACAATTTCTTCAGATAAATAAGAGTTTTGCTGTATTTACAAATTTGTATTAGCATTTTTTTGTATTGTTCTTTGAATTTTTGTTATTTGACTCAAGTGTTTTCAAAATATATTTCTTATGTTACTCTTATGTTTATTCTATTTCAAAATTCTTTTAGGACAATTTGTTCCTTTTAATTATTTGCTTCTTTATAATTCTAATATGTTGAAGATATTCAAGAACTAGTATATAATGCAGTGTAACGTCTCCCATATCCGGACGTCCCTTTCCCGGAAGGGTCGATTTCCCGGACACTTTTTAACAATCAAAATAAACAAACATCTCTCCATCATCCCCTTTCCTTAAAAAAAAAGAAAAGAAGTCTTTTGACATATTTTCTCTTTTCCGCATCGAACCCATAAATCACCAGAAAGGGGAAGTGAAGATCTACCAAGACCATTGAGTGACCGTTAGTGACGCTCCTCCCTTGGAATGTAGGAAAAAGAGGGAGATTTGTTTTCAAAAGATCGCAACTGGGTCCCCTCCCCCCCTTTCCCATGCAGGTGGCTAGTAAAAGAGGCATTTCCTGGAACCTTTTTATTGAAAGAAGAAATACTGTGGAAAAGGGTAATCAGGGCAAGCGTTAAGGTGGAGGGGGAGTCAAAATGGAAAATTTTAATAGGTCTAAAAGGATATACGTCCTTGAGAAACAAAACATCCGTTCTTCCCCATACCATGTAATATTTAGGAGGCGGGGGGAAAAAGGGGTAACATTCTTTCTTTAGCAGATTCTTTCAGTCATAAAAGAAAAAATAAAGAGAACCCGATCAGCGTGTCCCGCCTTTATGCTTGATTGATAGCCAATGATTGGAGAGAAAACAATAATTTGTTACTTCCCCACCCTCAACTTAAATGATCTCCTCTTTACACTTATTTTCTTTCACAAATAAGGAGGAAATGAATTTTTCTCCTCCAAGTACCCACTTTAATGAATGACGGGAATTTCCCTTNTATGTCCTTTTCTGATTATTTGCTCTATAGTTGTGCCCTCACAATTTCTTCAGATAAATAAGAGCTTTGCTGTATTTACAAATTTGTATTAGCATTTTTTTGTATTATTCTTTGAATTTTTGTTATTTGACTCAAGTGTTTTAAAATATATTTCTTATGTTACTCTTATGTTTATCCTATTTTAAAATTCTTTTAGGACAGTTTGTTCCTTTTAATTATTTGCTTCTTTATAATTCTAATATGTTGAAGATATTTCAAGTAACTAAACTAGTTACAATGTCTAGTTTTTATCTTGCAAAAGAACTCTTTTTATTTTACATTTCAGCTAATAATGAATTTAATTATAAACTTTGAATAAAATATTTACTTTTTATTGAAATTGCATTTTCTCAGAAACTATACTATTTTAGATTTTTTTTTTATTAAAAAAAATCAATATTACAAACCTTAAGTGACTTACAATTAAGCATTTTCAAGTGAAGTAAAACTACCAGCAATAATGAAAGTTAATGACAATAATAAAACATATAAATAATTACAGACCGGCGTATTCACGCAAAATGCTTTCTGATTACTTCCATGAATAGTGAAAAAATAGTTACAGAAGCCTTTCTTTGCAAGTTTAAGAAATTCATTTTGTTTATTTGAATATACTTATTTTCATTAAATTTCAGAGAAGAAACACTTGAAAGATTATTTCAAGAAAAAGCTCTTAAACTTTTAGAGTTCCAAGAACAGAAAAAAGTAGAAGATGAAAATATAAAATTAAAAGTTGATGAAATAGTACGTAAAGAAAAGGTAAATATGCACTTATAACTTATTCTATTAATGTTTTGTGTTCTCAAAATTATAATGAAATTGAAACTATAAGTTTTAATTTCATAAAATTGCTCAAGTTCATTAATTAAAGCTGTAGGAATAGATATTTTCACCTGTAATTCTAATAAAAGTATGATTTATTTAACACAGTAAAGCACTGTTTATATGTCTCTGGGGAACCAATAAAAATTAACGTAAATTTATGTAACTGAAAATTAAACAAATTATTGTATATAATCATTAAAAAACTAATAATGTGATAGCATCGTTAATGTAGCATATATTATTATTGATATGGGTTATTTTCTCATTTTTGCATCCTTAAGCAATATTTCTTATTAAAATGTTATTTAATGGTATCTTTTGCTTAAAATACTCAAAGTGAATACAAAAAAGGCATCAGATAAATTTTGTATGTAAATTTTTTTATTTATTATTTTTTTTAGAAATTTTTTTTTTAAAAATGTCATAACTGTCCCCAACTCATATTTCTGAACATTTTAAGTAATTTACTATATTATGAAGGTGTTAGAGAGGTAAATGCATTCATAGTTTGACTATCTACTTAAATATGCATTATCACTGTTCTTAGAATAATTTGTATGTTTTGTTTCACACATAGTTTTGTATGAGTCCCCAACAAATACAAATTAACTATTTTAACACTGTATAAATAAAGAATGCACTGAGGTACAAAATCACTCCAATTCCACATACAAGGTTTGTGAGAAATTTCAACAGATCTAGGGAAATTTTTGGTCTAATTGAAAAAAAAAATTGCCACAACATTTCAGATTGTAAAACAATTTGTCTCTACAAAATTTTCCTCCATAAAAATAAAATTCAATTTGTGCTTCTCAAAAATGTCACCAAGAAAGAACAACATAGGGATTACTGTGATGGGCTAAGTGCTCCTCTCCTTCCTTGCTATCCATGCCTACCAGGAAACATTTTCTCCTAAGGGAAAGAAGATTTTTTTTTATTATGTTAACCCTTTGCTTGTGGCTGGTACAGTATGCATACCGCTTGAAAAAACTCATCTCATTGCGGATCCAGCAGTTGCGCCAGTGGTTCTCTTCCCCCTAGACCACCATCGCACCTGTCATTTTTTCAAGAACCCCGTAATTTAAGCCTATTGTTAAATGAGTGCTCGCTTTCGATTCAAATTGGCTGTAAGATTTTTCTCTTTTATTATTAGTTGGCGAGTTTTAAGGTATGAGAATGTCTTTCTTTCCCTTTGTAGTACTAATTACGTTTAATTTAAGATCTTTTCAACCACGATATTTATTTTTTTCCGGTTAATTTATTTGTTATGTTTATTTTTTGGTTACGTTTTTGTTATTTTTTTTAAATATTTCGATAATGTTTTAATTAAATTATCATATACGTTTTATTTTTAATTTGTTGCTTCCGTTTAGTATTGTATTATTCTTTTTTCATTGAAAGAATTTTTTACATTTCAAGATGCCACCTAGAGTGAGACCACTCACTCGAGAAGAAATCGATAAGTTAATGTATGATTTCAATGTTGAAACCTACGCGGATTCTGAATCAGGAAGAAGAGGGAAAGAATGAGATTCAGCAAATCTCAAATGTATAACTTAAAAGTTTCAAAAATAAAGTTTATTAAAATGGTACCGCTTTTATATTACAAATTCAGATGATCATTCACAATCGAAACCAGTCTAGAAATTCTACACATTAATTAGAAAAAAAAGATGTACAAATTATATATTTAAGCTGAATTTTTTAGAAGTTCTACAAATATTTACAATCTCTTCAGATTTACACTCAGTTTTTTAATTTTTCTAAAAACAGTTCTGTAAAAATCATGGAAAAAAAATAAAGCGTGTTTTAGGGGAAATTTCACATTCCATAATTTACCCTTCTGTGTCTGGCAAAACGAATAAATAAATAAATAAATCACTGAATGAAAGTACCTAATACTAGCGGGTAAGACATTGCTCGAGAAATAAACAGTATTAAATTTTAACTTAATAGTTAAAAGTAAAATTAATTATTACGTATGTGATCAATAAAATATTTGGTATAGTGAGCTAAAAAGTACTTTATAGTATTGACAATTCCATAGTTTGATATTTCAAAATATTTTTTAATATTTTATACGTTCGTTTTAAAAATTTAGTAACATTATTAAAAACCTTTAAATATCACAATTTCAACTTTATTCTTCTAAGAAATTTAAGGTCTAAAATAATTTATGTTGCCCCTGTCAAAAATAGTTATCTTCTAAGATTTTAAATTATGTTACTATTAAAAAAAGCAAAAAAATGTAATTATATTATTAAAACAGAATATTGTTTTTTTTTTTTTACTACGAGTAATATGCAGTTTCATAGGGTTAAAGGGAAAATCTAATTAAACGTTACAAACTATAAATCTAAAGTGCACAAAAAGATGAAAGCATACGTAAATTCTTTCATTGGTAATTATATTGAACCGAACTTTTGAAACCGTGAAACAACTTTTTATTTCTTAATAAAATAGCATTTATATTATATTAATTTATTCCAAAGAAGGAAATACTGTTGAAAGCTGACATTTGTTTTTTTTTTAAATATTTGTGGAAAGAGGAGAGAGCATCTATCAGAAGGTTTTGAATGTTTGACCTTGAACTGGAAGTTTAGTTAACTAAGGTAAACGACGTTTAAGAGCACAAAAAATATTTATAAAGGCAGACAGCTGTTTCGGATGCTCAAAGGGCAACCTTCATCAGTGCAACAGCTTTTTTATTTTATTTTTAATTTAGGAAGTTTAGTCGCAATGAAACAATTTCTACTTTTCAAATATTCATATATGATAAATTACTGAACAATTTTAGAAAGGTATTGTTCCCGCCTCTTTCTTCAAGTTCTCAGAGACAAATTTTTCTTTCAAGTTCCGACGAAATCTTTCCATTGAGAGCTTTAGAGTTTGTCATAGTGTAACTTATTAAGCACAAAATGAATTGTTATTCCTTTTCCAAAGATAACGGATACCGAAATATTCCCTCCTCATCCACAGCAGGCGAAGTGCCATTTCCTGCTTTTTGTTGCATTATCGGTCAGAATGTGTTTTTGGTGGTCTCTTATTTATTATATATTTTGGTTCCTGTCATTTTTAAAATTCNTATTACCTTAAACTGTCTGGAATTTATTATTATATGGTTGCGCTTGCGTAAAATTTACTATCGTGGAAATTCAGCTATTTTGCCTTTTTGCTAATCTCATCCCTGATAGATGCGTCTCGTAACAATTGATGACTTAAACATTTTCATATATATGTGGCAATCGTGAAATACTGCAACTCAGCGGATACTTTTTTTTGTTGTATAAAACCTTACCTGCTTCTAACAAAAAATTAAGACGAATATTCTTTTTTGAATTATAAAAAAATAAGGAAAGTATTAAGGTAACCTATCAGTTTAAAATTGCACGAACAACTAACATTATTTTGTATTTGTTATTTTATGAAATTAACTAATATTTCAAAACAAAATTTTAAAATGAAATGGGATCTTTTATTCTTTCAATATGGGGCTCAAATATAAGCTAAATAGAAATGTGGCAAATTTTTTTATTGTGTAGTATATTTGTTGTAAAAAAAATAAACAATGGTAATTTTTCTTCTTTGAACATATTCTTTAATTAGTGTTTTTAACATTATTTTTTATAATTCTAATAATGTTTATATAAAATATTCTCATGAAATCTTAATGAATTTCTATTGAATATACGCGTATAACATTTATGTATTTAAAAAAGAAATGAAGGCAAAAGGTTCTTGGAAAATTTTTATTTAAAGAATGCTATATTTCAATTTTGCGTAAATGTAATAGATGAGACTCCACATTTGCTATATTTTTAACAGATAAAATAATCTTCAAAAATGTAAAAGAGTTACAACAGTCATCGTTAGAAGTTTTAAAAATCTGCTTTTTAAAATTATTTATTAAAATTAATGTTTTTATGATTTTAAGATGAGAATAAAACTTCAAAAAATGCTCTATTAGAAAAAAATAAGAGTTTTGTTTGTAACAGTTTATTAACAATTTTTCTGAGACAATAAAAAGCATGTTTTATTTTTAAATGAATGCTTGCTTTGCATAAGAGATATCATTTTATTACATTTTAACCAGAGGAAAATTTTTTCACCTGACTAGCCACAACTAAAAGGTTAAAACTGTTGATCTATTATGTTAGACACAGCACAAATAACTTTGTATGTCAATTTGTTTATTTACTAGTTTGAATTCCTTAAGTTTATGAGGGAGCCTTTAATTTTAGATTTATGTATTATTATTATCATAAATTTTGATTTCTTTTATTTTTAACATATATGACACATTTAATCTGATTCAAGAATTATGTAAAATCAAAACAAATTTTTTTTTCTTTGTTAACAAAAGATTATTATTAAAAAATTTCCACAATATATTAACTTTACTGCAGTTTTAAGAAAATAATAAAAAATGAAACTAAGTTACATTATGACTAAATTTATTGTTAAATTTTCTTTATAAACTCTGGATTTGATCTGATCTGAAATCCTTGCATTAAGTTGAAAGTTAAGCTCTCTTTAAATTATGATTTGAAATTGATCTCACAGTGCTTATGTATTACACAACATTTCCTTTGTGAAGAAAAAATAGTGTAAATAATAAAAATAACTATTTATAAAAAATAAAAAAAACTAAATTTACAATATAAGAGTATAGGGATTAGTGTAAAATATGTTAATGCAGTATTTGAATGACCCATCATGTAAATGGTATGCAATGTTATTTTTATGTCTAGTGGTCTATAACTCAAACCATTAAAAAAAAATTTTTATTTTTATTTTTGTAACAGGAAAAAGTTGCTGGTTACATAACATATGAAAATTTAGATGAAGCCATTGAAAAAGCAATGGAAAATCCTGTCAACTATAACTTTTGCATAGATGTTAATGGTAGTTTAAAATGGGAAGGAAAACCCCCTGCACATTTTGAAGAAGAAATGAAAAGGAGAATGGATGAAAGTATAGCAAAGAATTAAACAAGTTTTTATTTTCTTGTAGATTAAGTATTTCTTGTATTATTGCTTTTTAATAAAATATTGCCTTATGTTATTGAGTTTTATTTCTGTTTGTCAATGCATCATTGCTATTCAGGATTGAAATTCCTTTGGAAAGAGATCTGTTTCTAAAGTTGCCAAATTTTAGACCTTATTAATATACAAAAATATATATTTTAACATTTGATTTAAAATTATTTTAGCAAACTATATCTAAGTTTTACATGAAAATTCTTTTAGCATATCTTTGTTCTTTTAAATGCAGGTAGAGTTAAAAGCATAACTTATTTTAATATATTTGCTTTTTAAGAAAAGAAAATCATATATTTTTATAATTGAATTATTATTTCACTTTTCCTTAATAATAATTTACTGATTAAATCTTTAATGATTTATTAAAATTCTTTATCAACCTGTAATGGGAACCTTTTTACAGCAATATTAATTTATAATTAAAATAGCTTTTTTTTAAAAAAAATTTTTTTTTCATTATACATTTATAAACAGTAGACAATAGAATTTTTATGCATCAGCAAACAATGTTTAAAAAGTCATTTAAGGGATCTTCAAATCAACTGGGTATGGTAACTTGATATGGCTGAGCCATTCAAAAAGTAATAAATTATATAAAATACTAAATCAAGTAGTAATAAATGTCAGGAAGCAGCCACTTTTTCAAAAAAAATTGACTTTAGTGACTATTTCACTTAATAGTGACCATTTTTAACAAAAAAAGAGACCACATTGAAAGTGCATAAACAAAAAAGGAAAACACACACTTTTCAATGTAACATATTAAGAAGAATCTGACTTCTTTATACAGTAATACTAAAGTATGAAAAAAAATTATAATTTAAAGTAAAGAAATATTTAGTCTTTGTTCATAAAAATAAACCAAGATAATCAAACGTTTTTAATCCATCTACTACTGATGATTTCATTAAATTCGATGATTATGGTGAGATGAATGGGCAAAAATTTGTTTGAAGTGTATTTCTGTCGATCTTGTGAGGCATTATCATTGTCTATATTTACGAGGGATTGAATTGAAAAATGAGTAAAAGAATAATAGATTTCCATTTTTGGTACACAATACCAAATTCATGCCTTTGCATTTAGGCAAAGGAAAATTCTGTCCTTGCCCCAAATAAAAATCTTAAAATATAATTATTGAATAATAAAAAATAGAATTAGACATTTTCTAAAATTAGGTTTAATGATATTTTTTTGATTTTATTTTATAATAAAGATTTACTGGAAGTTTCAAATAAAGACTGCAATAGTCTAATGAAAAAGGCCTTGGTGGTTTTACAGGGTTGGTAAGGTTTAGGACAGAATGGATTAATCCACGGTTTAAANTTGAATAATAAAAAATAGAATTAGACATTTTCTAAAATTAGGTTTAATGATATTTTTTTGATTTTATTTTATAATGAAGATTTACTGGAAGTTTCAAATAAAGACTGCAATAGCCTAATGAAAAAGGCCTTGGTGGTTGTACAGGGTTGGTAAGGTTTAGGACAGAATGGATTAATCCGCGGTTTAAACCGTCCTGTCCAAAACCCTTCTACTCAAATTATGTCTCAATTTTATCTGAACAATATTTAAGAGGTAAAATAAACATAGAACTAATAACATATTGATAATTAAATCTACTACGGAATATTTGTTTTTAAAAGTATAATGTTTTATTAATATTGTTTGACTCTTCAATTTAAACATTAAACAAACTCGTTCAATTGGTCCTCTCATTCAATAGTACATAACTGAAGTTTGACCTTGCCCTACAGGTTAAGCTATTAGGGACTAAGTGCTTGGTTAGTCATAAGCAGATTTGTTTATCTATAGTACTATTCAAGAATACTTTTATTTCATTCATGTTCAATTCTTTTAGCATAGTGGTGATACATCACCAGTGTCAGTAACTGAAACTGATGTTATGCCCTTCAAAACTGTTAATACATTTTTCAGTTATTTTGTATTTTCAATTTAAACTAATATATTTATATTTAAAAACAATTTTTTTTTAAAATAGATGTCTTTTTTATCATCCTGTGATGCAGAAATTATAAAATTTTTTTAAAAAAATATTGTGAAAAATAAAAGGTTAATTTTTGAACAAATTTAGTATTTTTTTTAAGAAAAATTATTATTTTTTAATATTGCCATATTTATCCTTATGCAAAAATATTATTTATCAGTATTAAAAGCATATTTATATTTAAAGGATTAGGTATTCACTTTTGTTGTTCAATGAATTGTGGAGCTTCAAAAATTATAAACCTTTTCCTATTATATTATATTATTTTCTTTTAATAAGTTATAGTAAATTGTATAAAAAATATCAAATATTTATTGAAACATGTAATTATTATGTGTACAATGGTTACACCTATAGAATTTTTACCTTTTACCAAAGTTCAAGGTTTTGGACAGTTTTACCCAGTTAAGGACAGTTTTACCCAGTTTAGGACAGTTTTACCCAGTTTAAGAAAGTAAAAGCCACGTGTCCTGTTCAAAACCAGTTTAGGACATCCAAAACCCCAACCCTGTGGTTTTATTATTTGCTTAAATGCAGACAGTGATCATCAGTCACTAAGAACATGCAACAAAGAAAATCATTAGCTGACATAAACAGGTTTCCAAATCTGGCAATCAATGTGTTAAGGCACAGCTGTCCAACTGGCGGCCCGCCAACTTCATATTCAGCATATTTCTTTTTTCGAAATTTGATAGTATATCAAGAAGGAGCTCATTACCATGTGTTCTCTTCACTCCACAACAAAGGGTAGGGACATATTTGAAGAAGTGATGAAAGCAGTAAACAGTGTCGGAGGTTTTGAAAAGTGTTCCGTCCTAGCTACAGACGGTGCAAAGGCAATGGTAGGACCAAAGATAGGATTGATTGGATGTTGGAGAGAAAATGGAATGAAATGCCCTGCACTTCATTGCATCATTCACCAGCATGATTTATGCGGGAAATCGGTGAAGCAAACTGAAACCCCCCAAAAAGTTGTGAAAGTCAACAACATGATCAGAGGCGACAACAGGGCTCTTATGCATCGGCAGTTCCGTCACTTTTTGATGGAAAGTGAAGCAGATTACGGCGACCAGCTTATGTACAATCAAGTTAGGTGGCTTAGTGCCGGAAACTGCCTCACAAGATTTTTCGAGTTGAGAAAAGAAATCCCTCTTTTCCTTCACCAGTTTTCTCCATCAGAAAACCTTGAACAAGAACTTTTAAGCATGGATTTTTCATGTCACTTGGCATTTCTAATTGATATTACTGGCCACCTCAACGATGTGAACTTAAAACTACAAGGAAGAGGCCAACTGGTGTCTGACCTAATGGCACACATCAATGGGTTTAGAAACAAGCTGAAAATTTTCCATGCAACTTTTGGAAAAAATAACTTATCTCACTTCGCCAGCTGCAGTCGTTTAGCGTCAGAGTGTGAGGAACTGCTAGATTTCTCTGAATTTTGCCCTGAGTTGCAGACAATTATTGATGAATTCAACACAAGATTTTCAGATTTTGAGAGCATCAAGAATGACGTGGCTCTGTTTAGTAATCCAGTCACAGCAAGCATTGAAGAACAACCGGCCAACCTACAAACAGAGCTCTGCGATCTCCAGGCTGACCCGTTCTTTCAAACAAGAACCAAAAGGGGGCCCGAGTTCTTCAAGTTGCTTCCAACTGAACGTGACTTAGGACTGAAAATAACTTCCATGTTTGGGAGCACATATTTATGCGAAAATGCTTTTTCGGCAATGAAGTTTATCAAGAATCGTTACAGGAGCTCTCTCTCCGACAGTTCATTGTTAGACTCTCTTCGGCTGGCAATGACAAACATCAATGTTGACATTCCTGCCCTTGTAAAGAAGGCTGATCAGCCTCAGTTTTCTCATTAAAATGTAAGCAAATTGTTTTATAATCCTTCTGTTCCATTGTTTCATAATTAATAATTCAACTATTAATTGTTATTGTAAAAGAGGTTATTGTTCAACTTTTTCAAACTGCGGCCCGCCAAGTGATCAGTGACTAGAATTCTGGCCCGTGGACTCATGTCCACGGGCCAGAATGTCATGTTGCAGTTGCATAGCCCTGTGTTAAGGTATTCAAATGAATTTACTAAAATGATATCAGGTTATTTTTTTTCATGGTTTCATCTGATTTATTAGAATTAAGCAAAATTTTGCATTAAGAAAATTTACTTACATAATTTTTTTTTACAGAATGCCACCAAATGGCATTAATAGCGGCACATTTAGTGATTTTTTTGAGCTTGAGAAAAATTTTTGTTTATTTTATGGAAAAATAGACTTCTAATAACATAGTGACCTGACCTAAAAAAAGTTCTTTTAATGACCTGCTGTGACCACTGAAATAGTTTTTTGTGTAGGTGCTCTATATTATCTGAAAAAATTAAATCTATTACTTTTTAATTTCCTAACACTGACAGAACCTTTTCTGATTTACAGATTATAGTCACTAGACTTGATATTTAAGAGTATATTAAATAATTTCTTAGGAAACTAAGAATAACTATCCTTAGTCTTCAAATAGCCTTATCGTTAAATACATTGGCTTTAGATCAACTGATATGATAGATCCTACTTTACTGAGGATGACTTGTGGATCTTTTCAATTCATGATGCAAAACTCAGAATGACCAATTTTCCCTGTTCAGATTTTCAAGAAATATATTTATTCTGTATCTGTACTACACGAAATATTTTTGTATCCGTAACTAACCGTTGTCAAATTTTAAGAGAAACTTTAAAAAGCATAACAGAAGGGGGCCAACTTGAAGGGTATGTTAAGGAATATGGTTATAAAGTCGCAGGCAGCATAAGTCCATAAACTGAATGTAATTTGATTTGAAGAGTATAACTTGTGTCTACTCTCAGGCAAACCTTTACAGATTTTCTTAAATTTTTTTTTGCAAGTTTAAAACTGTTTTGGCACCTTGGCAAGTAGTTGGTGTAATATGAAAAAGTTCTTTATGGTAACGTAATTAATTATATAAATCAGTAAAAAATAAATAAAGCTAAAAATCTATTTTTATTTATGTTTTATTGTCAGAATAACCTAATAATTTTAAATCACCAAATACATGTTGAAATTTTTCCTTGTTTAAAACCTCTCCATATTTTAAAGTGAAAAAAAGCACATCCTTTACATCATATCTTTGGAATCGGACATATATATCTTTTGGATTATATTCACAATCTGTTAAAGGTATAATATTTTCAGTAGGAACAACAATGTTTATTCTTTTACCCCAAAATGATAAATGAGATACTTTAACAATTCTATTGTCCTCAGACACAAAAATAATTCCAATTAGTTTTCTAAAAAACCATGTTATTGGATATAAAGTCAAGCCTGCCAATACTCCACATCCTATAAAAACTTTTACAACAGAAAACTCAACAGCACCATAATGATAGAGTATTGAAGAAATAGGTATGAATACAGCTGAAACTACTGTTTGGTAAAGTTTAAAACGATTCAGAATTCCAGCAGTAATGATGAATCTGTAACGGTAAACTGGTGTCCATGGAACTTCATTTGATGACTGATGTTTTGACAGCTCTAAATTCTTAGAACATAAATAACGAAGACATTCTGTTCTTCTTTTGTATAAAAATTCTGTGTTTTTCAAATAGGAAACATTTATTTTCTTAATGTTACCCAGAATCTATGGAAAAAAAATTAGATATGTATTAGATTTAAACAATAAGGTAACTCTTTCTATTGTAATAAATATGATTCATCTAGTAGAAAACCTACATTTTGTTTCAAATATCAAATTGAAAATCAGATTTTTGTTGTTGTTGATTAGTTAAGTAATTGTACAATAAGCGTAAAAGAAACTATTACACTGCATAACTTTTTTCAACTGATCCGAATTTCACGTACTAAATCTAAATCTTAAATGTTCAAAAGGTTGATTTCAAATGTGTTAATTATTGCTATTAATTGTTTTAATAAGACCCTAAAACATACTTTTTCTGAACAAATATTCATTTTTTCCCCTGATAGCTTTGGATTCTTGACCAATTAATATATAGGGGTAACTACCATCAGAAAAATAGGGTCGTAATACTTAAGTGAGGGGAGCAATTTAAAGTTTGAGATCCTTACTTTATTTCACTTTTTACATGATTTGCCGTATCTCAGAAACTTATTAAGCAGATCAAAAATTTTTTTGAAAACAACTAAAAAGATTAAAAAAATTTTTTTTAAAATTTATTATCAAAGATACAAAAAACAATTTCTGATAAAAAATTTCTTTTAACAATATTTTAAATTAAAAAATTTAAGTAATAAATTATAAAATTTGAACAAAATCATAACTTACTTTTTTTGAGAAGTGAAAATTAAGAACAAGACTTTTTTTTATTAATCATTTTTTGAAAGATAGCCAACATGAACTCAAGTAACTTTCTATTAGTCAACTTATTTACAGAAAAGTTTTAAATTAAATGATAATTTGTGACTCAATCTGTCTATTCTACATAAGTTTTCTTTTTCTTCTTCTTTTTTTTAAACTAGTAATCAAGAAAATACTGATATTTATGGCTGAAGAAAAATGAGCAATTTAACTTGTTATTCTAGTTAGGGTTTATTAACAAATGATGTCACACTTGGAGAGAAGGGAGATATTCATGAAATTTTGACAAAAGTGAGAGAGGAGGTAACAAGTATCCAAAAGAAGGATAGAGTATACTTTGTGCTATGTAGACTACATAAAAAAAAAAAAAACATGAATATAGCACTAATAAAGTAACAAGCTGGTTCAACAGTTCTGGTTCTTTAAGCAAAAATGTTTCTCAATGTCTAAACACCAAATGAACAAGTTCAATAATACACATTTTGGTATAAATTAAGACACTTAAAATCAGCAGTTAAAATATTTTTATATTATATAAAATACATGTTTATAAATATAATTTGGTTATCTCAGCAATTTCATGATACATAGGACAACATAATAAAAATAAGCATTTAATAGCATCCTTCTATTAATTAATTTCTCAGTTTTTTGTTATTAATTAATTTAGATCATTGTTGATGCTGGGTGTATATCTCCTCCACAATATCTCACACAAATCAGCAAAATTTATGAACTATGATTGATTTTAACTCATCAAAGTTAAGAACAAGAAAGAGACAAAAATAATTAATATTTTTGCAGTTATAATAAATTTTTGTTTCGAATATCGGAGACTGTATTTTAATTTCATCTCCCTCAAAAATTGAACTCCCATGATACACATATTTTATATATAAAATGTTTAGTTTTTAAGTATTTTAAAATGATAATGGAAAAAGTTTATTAAAATTTTAATATAGTTTGTAACATCAGTCAAGAGACCCTATTTGCTACTTTTTATATAGATCTTTTGATGTGTATTAATCAGAAGTTTTTGTTTTTAAATCAATTAAAACAACAACAACCCATTATTGCTTATAGAGGAAAAAAGATAATTTCAAAATTAAAATATGTTTTACTCTACGTCATTTCTATGGAATATCAGTCACATTTAAAATTTTTATTCTAAAAAAAAAACATTAATTTTGACCTCTTTTTTCTTATTAATATTAGGCTATTGAAAAACATCTCGTATGATTTTTTAAAAAAATATTAATCAATGGATAAAGTTTATAAGCAAGAAAATCGATCAAAATGTAATGTCAATCCCTATGGAATTGATCATATTGTCTATGACATAGTGCTTTGTTTTGAAACAGGAAGTTTATTATTTTTAAATGATATGTAATGTTATACATGTGACAGGGGGAATATAGAAAAGTGTGACACATTGCGAGAAAGGGGATTAAAAGTTTTAATAAAAAACATCGTTTATGGATAGCCCTTTATGACAATATTTTGCATATTAATTATTTATAATAAATACTTTATTTTGACACATATTTTAAGTTAAACTTTAATTTGTATTAAAAGAGTAATACACTTTTGATATTATTTTTTCTGCTCATAACTCTAATAAAATTTTTATTTTTTGCTTATTGTTTAAGCTTTTCCCATCAGGTGTGGTTAAGTAGAAGGTAAAATGACAACAACAACAGCAAAGACAGCAATTTAAATAATTTTTTTTTAATACATGGATTGTAAGATTTGTATAGAAACTAATATAAAAATTTTAACAAAAGTATTTTTGAAAATTTACAATTTATTTTTAAATAAAGAGTGCAATGTTATTTGATAAAAAGACTTACACGATTAGACATGTTCATTTTATATGATGGAAAAATATCCAATAGATATAATCTTTTAAAATAATTTATATTATATGAGTTGAAAATATTACTCTCAAAATGGACTAATGTCTTGATTAGTATAATATCCAGAATTGATTTAAAGAAAGCATTAAATAATAAGGATTTTACGATAATTCTGTATGCTTTATAAGCATAACCATAGACAGCATTGCATAATATATTTTATAAATAAGCTGGTAATTGACTGCCAACGTTTCAGGCTGTTTGTATTTGTTCAGAACAAGATCAGCGAAAAAATACTTATCTCGGATCTTTCCCGAGGAAAAGGAAAGTTTAAATTGGTGGCGTCATCTAGTGACATTTATAAAAAGATAAACATTTCTTAATTGTTTCATCAATCCATAGATTAGTCCATAGATATAAAGGCAGAAAGATCA